TCAACCCATACCATCAGTCCAAGTGCCGCGTGGAAATTGACATTGAAAGTTGCAAACTTTGAACTTCCGCTTTCTCTCCTTGCCTCCATAAACAGATACCGCTATCACGATACTGTAATAAAGTGGAAGTAGTTAGAAAAGAGCTTTTCACATCACTGATGTGTCCATAACGCATGAAATGGTTTGAACGCACAGTTTCAGGCGTTGGTTGTCCTGTAAATTTAAGGGAAGCCGAAAAAGTCGCTTGTTAGATCTACCTTACTTACAGATTTTTTTTTGAGTATTAAACATCCAGTTTGTCGATTCAGGGTACATGATGTGGCTGTATGATTCTTAACGGCGATTCGGACAAGATGTCTGTCGTCTCAGACTTTCACGAGTGGAAGCAATTGAGATCCCGTACGTCGCTCTACGTGCATCTCCTTGAGCCACAGACTGTAAATTCTCATAATACTCGCTTAGTTTTCGTCAAATCAAGCAGCAGCTGCACCGTAAGGGATAATCTGATTACCTGGCTGGATCCAATTCTCAGGTACAGGAGGCATAAATCGACCTCCAACGCAAAAAACAGGACAAGTAAATACGATCTACAAATGAAACGATTTAGCGTTTCAGTCTGCTTTTTTGTTATATATACTGCTATAAGGTATTCATAAATTTTGCTTTTAATGTAAACAAGCCATAAAATGCTAACCATTTGCATATTCCACCAAGTTCTATTTTCTGGCAAATTTCAAGTGTGCTGTACACTTTTTTCACGGTATAACAATTTTAATGGGCAGCAGTATATAATCTTGTTTCTACGGATATCGCATATTCTTTCAGTCTGAAAAAGGTTTAGTCACATTTTAGTTTTAGTAGAAATGTAAAAAAGTAGTATTTATTTTATTTCGTATTTATTATTAAGATTTAATTTTTTCTACAAAGAAAGTTTTAATTATTAAATTGGTCACTGTCTCAAATCCTTTTAAAAATCTAATAATGAAAAACTCTTCTTGAAGCAAAATTTCAAAATTACATGATCCAAAATATTTTCAACCAACAAAGCGCCCCATATCTCAAATAGCTCAGAGCCTTACAAGTCTAAATCTGGCTCTGTCTGTTATCCTGGATTGTGGTATTTTAGAGGCAGTCCCTCTGTAGCCATTGAGTAGACGTTTTGAACGATTGATAGATCTGGGGAATATAACCGTCCAAGGCAGAAGTCGAACATCCTTAAGACTGAAAAAACGTACGACAAGTGTAATTTAAAATGTAGCTCTCCAACTGTCATATGCTAATACTTTTTTGAAGGTATAGCGAATGACGCCCCGAAGATAGGCCAGCACGGGTATTAAAATCTTAATAATGTGACTGCGGCCAGTCTAAGTACTGGATGTGCGCACTAGAGGCCAATCGAATGTGTACCCAGCATCAACCCATACCATCAGTCCAAGTGCCGCGTGGAAATTGACATTGAAAGTTGCAAACTTTGAACTTCCGCTTTCTCTCCTTGCCTCCATAAACAGATACCGCTATCACGATACTGTAATAAAGTGGAAGTAGTTAGAAAAGAGCTTTTCACATCACTGATGTGTCCATAACGCATGAAATGGTTTGAACGCACAGTTTCAGGCGTTGGTTGTCCTGTAAATTTAAGGGAAGCCGAAAAAGTCGCTTGTTAGATCTACCTTACCTACAGATTTTTTTTTGAGTATTAAACATCCAGTTTGTCGATTCAGGGTACATGATGTGGCTGTATGATTCTTAACGGCGATTCGGACAAGATGTCTGTCGTCTCAGACTTTCACGAGTGTAGGGGAAGCAATTGAGATCCCGTACGTCGCTCTACGTGCATCTCCTTGAGCCACAGACTGTAAATTCTCATAATACTCGCTTAGTTTTCGTCAAATCAAGCAGCAGCTGCACCGTAAGGGATAATCTGATTACCTGGCTGGATCCAATTCTCAGGTACAGGAGGCATAAATCGACCTCCAACGCAAAAACAGGACAAGTAAATACGATCTACAAATGAAACGATTTAGCGTTTCAGTCTGCTTTTTTGTTATATATACTGCTATAAGGTATTCATAAATTTTGCTTTTAATGTAAACAAGCCATAAAATGCTAACCATTTGCATATTCCACCAAGTTCTATTTTTCTGGCAAATTTCAAGTGTGCTGTACACTTTTTTCACGGTATAACAATTTTAATGGGCAGCAGTATATAATCTTGTTTCTACGGATATCGCATATTCTTTCAGTCTGAAAAAGGTTTAGTCACATTTTAGTTTTAGTAGAAATGTAAAAAAGTAGTATTTTATTTCGTATTTATTATTAAGATTTAATTTTTTCTACAAAGAAAGTTTTAATTATTAAATTGGTCACTGTCTCAAATCCTTTTAAAAATCTAATAATGAAAAACTCTTCTTGAAGCAAAATTTCAAAATTACATGATCCAAAATATTTTCAACCAACAAAGCGCCCCATATCTCAAATAGCTCAGAGCCTTACAAGTCTAAATCTGGCTCTGTCTGTTATCCTGGATTGTGGTATTTTAGAGGCAGTCCCTCTGTAGCCATTGAGTAGACGTTTTGAACGATTGATAGATCTGGGGAATATAACCGTCCAAGGCAGAAGTCGAACATCCTTAAGACTGAAAAAACGTACGACAAGTGTAATTTAAAATGTAGCTCTCCAACTGTCATATGCTAATACTTTTTTGAAGGCATAGCGAATGACGCCCCGAAGATAGGCCAGCACGGGTATTAAAATCTTAATAATGTGACTGCGGCCAGTCTAAGTACTGGATGTGCGCACTAGAGGCCAATGGAATGTGTACCCAGCATCAACCCATACCATCAGTCCAAGTGCCGCGTGGAAATTGACATTGAAAGTTGCAAACTTTGAACTTCCGCTTTCTCTCCTTGCCTCCATAAACAGATACCGCTATCACGATACTGTAATAAAGTGGAAGTAGTTAGAAAAGAGCTTTTCACATCACTGATGTGTCCATAACGCATGAAATGGTTTGAACGCACAGTTTCAGGCGTTGGTTGTCCTGTAAAGTGAGAAAGAGTGAAAAGAAACATGATACATTGCTTTCTAGGCCAATCAAAAACTAAATTACGTTAGATAGAAAATTTCGAATTTCAGCATTTCTAAAAATGAGTATTTGAGAATAATACTTCTGTATTCGTGTTTCTTTGAAGAAAAAACGTATTATCTGTAAATTTACTTTCGAACTTACACATGAAGAGCTTTATTTTGTATTGTTTTGTATTAGTTTGTTTTTCCATCGAATCGGCATAAAAAAATTAAAGTTTTGGCATATCTCGCGATCAAAACTCGTAATTTTTTTGCATTCATTTCTAAATCCGAAATCCTGGACCAATGTTGAATCTATCAAGAAATATTTAGAAATATTATGTTTCAAGTGAAGAATAAATTAATTTAATTAACTATCAGGTGATCGGAAAGTAATGCAGAATTGTGGTTTGCCAACATCCATTTACATAGGAGCGTAGTAATATTATTTTGTAATCATAATTTTTACAGTATATATATTTTAGTGTTCCAGCTTCACTGAATTTAACATTTGATTAATTTTATTTATACGCGAGTGATTCTCTGTGATAAGCTGCACATTCTTCGTATAATTCTTTAAGTGATTCGCCTGCATGAAACTACTACAAAAGCTAATTGGAATTTTGCTTGCCAATTATCCATAAACACAGAAGCATACTAAGATATTTTTGCAATCATATTTTTATACTCCACATATTTCGGGCTTCCAGCTTAACTGAATTTAACATTTGATTAATTTTATTCATACGCAAGTGATATCCCACGATAAGCTGCACATTCTCCGTATCATTCTCTAAGTGTTTTGTCACTTTTACTTAGTTTAGTTTAGGGTGAATTTAGTTAAAATACTACAGAAGCTAATTGGAATTTTTAACAATATTTTCGGGTGGTATCAGGGAATGACAATAACAGGAGTTATATAAGAAGTTCCAATTAAGTTTAAGAATTTTAAGAAGTGGATTTAAGTTTCAACTAGAGCTTTCAATCTAGAGAATGAGCCAGGAAGTGGGTAATGAAAGAAAGTGGAAAATGATGAACTGAAGATGATGCTACTGCTAATGAACTTAAGAGTCAAATCCATGCATCACAGTAACGAAATAGATGAGAGGAACTCTTGGCACAGTGAACATCAACACGTTATAGGAAATGAATCAGGAGATTTCCTGATTCATTTCCTATAACGTTTTGTTTGTGTTTCTTATGAACTCACAACTGAAAATCATTAGCAAAAATCATTTGCATTTCTGTGTCTACAATAATTAAGTGAAGCGTTTTCTTTCGTGTACTATGACTGGAGGCAAAAATAGGGTTTTTAATGTTGAGTACAAAAGAGAAGCTAAATATCACCAGAAAAACCAGGATTGCATCCAAAGAAGCTTTTACTCTCTATATGGTGGGGCACGTAAAGTGTAGCGGGTATTGAACTATTAGGTAGTAACTAAAACATCAGTTCAGACATCTGTTATCATTACAGGTAATTTTAAACTAGGTTTAATTACTAAGCGATCTGCATTGATTAACAGATTTGACGTGATTTTTCAGAGGGATCATAAATCACACGCTGCTAGATGGCTCGATAAAAGCTTAATAATATGAAATTTTATTCATTCTATAATCGTCCTCTCCATTTTTACCTGTTTAGGCTACTGAAACCCACTTTAAACAGGAGGTTGATATTAAACTAAATGAATACTTTAAACAACCGTAAAAAGAATTCTTCGAAAAGGGATTGAAAATGCTTGAAAGAAGAGCAGAAGTCATAAAAAGCGAAAGATGTTGTTTAATAAATAATTTGATTTAATAATATTTTTATGATCCTTTAAAATGTTTTTATTTCTAATTCTATATTACTTTCCGATTAATTTGATACCAGCATATCCATTTATTTGCGGATGCATTTCTTGAGACAAAAATAATGAAGTATGGATACTTACAATAATTTCTGCTTTTTCCGATGCCAAAGTAATAGCCTTGACCGTTGCGTTGAACTTATTTTGCATATCTTCCATTTGCAAACGATAAGATTGACTAAGATGCTGTAGATATCGATTAATGAGATTTAAGTTGAATTCAGATTCTTTTATGCGTGATGTTAACCTTATCAAAACAGACTCTTTCTGAATAAGAGCTGCGCTATCAGCAGCATTTTCTTTGCCTTGATATTGCTCTTCCAAAATTTCGGGAAAGTGAGCATTTATAAAGTTCTTCTGATTCTGAAATTCTTTCGTTCTACTGTTTTCGCAGACACATGGAATACATTGTTTCTGGATCACAGGTTTGTTTTCAGTATTGATGTCAGACATAGTGGTGTTACTTACAGTTTTTTCTTTGCTTTTTGTAGTTATTTCGACCAGAATGCTTTTCTTTTTATTAATTTCAGATTTCCTTAGCTTTTGTTTACTATTTTTGTCCCTATGACATTGAGATCCATTTTCAGATGCTGTCACATAGGACTGAAACATAGCTCTGATGTTAATGTCAGAAGCATTTAAATTGCATTTGTTGCCACGTGGAAATTCCATTATCTCTGATTTGTTTTTGTGTTTGATAGCAGCTTCTGTTTGAATTGATGAATTAGTCACAATACATGCGCTAGAAAGTTTGTGAGATTCGATCGGACATACATCTTCACTCGGATTTCGCGAATTTCCAATGATATATTTCAAAAACAGACAAGGTGATAGATTCAGAGTTTTACTTTTAACCCGGAAATGCGAACAATAATATTTTAATACCGTGCAGGTTTGTTGAGAATATTTATCTTGGGATTTAACTCTGTTCGTTACGTCAAATGATTGATTGCTGATGTCATGGGTCTTTGAATACCTGGAATTTGAGAGGATGAATCGTTAATGGCAAATGAGGTTGATTTTGTCAATTTTTTCATTCAAAGAAAACAAAGCAAATGTTACCAAAATTCACTGATAAAAACAACATGAAAATACATTAAAATATCGTAATACAAAAAGACACAAGTGTAATGGAGAATGGATTCAAATAGCGCCCATTGTGTTGTGTGATTCATAATGGGAATGTGTTTCTAAATAATTGTTTTACCTTGAAGTAAAATGCATTGAATCGTCACAAAGGCTACATTTGGTTGCAATGACAAAGTTACGCATCTTAATGCGATCACCGTCTGAAAACTCGGCTATGATTGAAATTATCTGCATCTTCTCTACACCTAAATCATTTAACATCGCTTTTTCGTTTCTGGTAGAAAGATAAGTTAAGAGGCAATTTAGAGTACATTCCATTATTTGTTTTAGAAGGAATTTTTGCATGAATGTCTTCTTAAGAAGAATTCGCTTGCATTCTTAAAGATTTACATTTTCCTTAGAAGTACATTATAAGCAACACGAAGCTGCATGGGAGAAAACTATGAATGCCTAATATAGAGTCTGCAGTGTACTAACAGAAAATTAAGGCAAACATTAATGCACCCTGCATATGTCTCATAACACATTAATAAACTCTTTTCAAGGGTTCTTATTACTTATAATTGCATATTTCTTAGTGACATACTAAAGATATTCTAAAGTAATTTTCTTCAATAAACTGAAGAAGAAGTTAGGAGAAAGTGTTAAAATAGGCATTAATGGCAAGATAAAAGTACATTCAAAGAAAATTGATTGAAAAGTACTAGACTCAGTTTTCAATAAAAACAAATAGTTGCTATCTCTTTTTAGATAAATTAATAGTTATGCTGCATGATGTTTACAAATATGATATATATTTTTGCTATCTAATGGGCATGAAAAGTGATGTTTCGATTTCGAAAAAAATTGGCATAATCATAGAGTTTTCGCTGACTGACTGATGTTTTTGCATTACACCAAGTATTTTAAAATTAATGCAAGAGTTCAATTAAACATACTATTCGCTCAATGGAAAAGTGTGCCCCAAAAGTTCTTATAAGTATACTTAATAGGTCCTTTTAGCATAAATAATGTTACTACCTAACTGGAGAAGAACAGGAATTCTTTTTCAGTACTCTTATCGAGAACTTCGGACTAGAATTGCTCAGTCCTTAATTCCTTCTAAAAATTTTGGGAAAAAACTATATTAAATTCTAAAAATTACATTTTAGAATAGAATTTTAAAATTTTAATTCGAATGTTTAATTTAATTAACTTATTTTAATTATTTTCAATAATATCTAAAATTATTAAAAATTTTAAATGTACTTAATCGTTTATTTTACCTTTATATTCTTGCTTGTGGAAATAATAAGAAAAATATTATTCTAAAATTACCACACATTATTCAAATTCTGAGCAATAAATATTTCATTGCATTTGTGCTTGGAGTGGAACTATTTTTAAAAATAATTATTTCACTGGAAATGAAATGTATTATCATTTCATGTTAAGCAGGGGATTTGGGGAAGATTTCCTTGAAAGATTTGACGCATAAGATATAGAAAATAAAAACGATAAATAAAAGTTAAATTTATGATTGAGTAGTTTTAGCACATATTAATTCAATTGTAAAAGAAAATGAGTAAATTAGATATCAATATCCTCTCTTCATGCTAAGGAAACTATACAGAACTTTTCTATTTTATAATAAATAATAATTTTCTTTTGTCTAACTATATGTGGTTAGCATGAGCAACGAATTTCGAAAACCGATATCTCACTAACTCTTAGATATGTCGCCAAAATTCGTTTTGCGTATTTTTATTTCTTAGAATTTTGGAGCTGCCATCTTAAATAATCTTATCTAGATTTTAAATGAAAACAATTGTATTCGTTTTATAACAGATTATTCATCATTTGTGTCACCCGAATGGTAGTGATTACAACGATAATCAGTGACTTACATGTTGGGCATCATTGAGTCGTTCTGCACTTTGATCAAAGAAGAACCTGCTAAAAAATAAGAATTTGGTAACTTTACCACAATATGCTAAATAATTGACTTAAATGAAACATTTTACGTATCATGTAGTTATTTTTACGACTTACTAAAAGGTTGAGAAGTATTTTCATATGTGGACTTTTCAGTTTCTGTTTCATCATATGCATAAACCATAGAATAGCCCAAGATTCGGAGTGTACTCAGAGGACAATAGTGCTCCTTTCCATGATGACTATGAATCACAACCTGGAAAAATATTATACTGTGAAACTTCGAAAATATATCGTTCTTTGACCGAGTAAAATCTGACGCATTAACGCATTAAGAGTGGCACTTTCTGAAACAGAGTTTCCCCCTTCCTTTACAGATCAGATTTGATCTTCCGAAAAAAAAAAAAAAAAAAAAAAAAAAAAAAACAGATATATGCTATTTATTTACATAAAAATTTAGTTTGCTTCAAAACTTACATTTTATAAAATTATTAAAAATTATTATTAAATTTACATTGTACTCAAAATTTACATTTATTTCATATTTTGCTTCAAAATGTACATAAAATCGCATAAAAAATCTTTCCTCGATTTGAAAATTTCAGCTTAAGATATGTACCACTTAATTTTAAAGAGCAAGAAAATAGAACACCATGGTTGCCCAATGTAAGAAATTTCGAGAATAGGAGACGTTTTAAGAAAAATTGCTAAATTTAAGTCTTAAAATAAAGCTGTTTCGTTAGTAGTTGTTAAGACAATTAACTACCGTCTATATATAGCCGTTATACTTTGGACTTCCTTTCCCTACAGATCTACGAAAATGTCCGCTCGACCTTTGCTCACATCCCGCTGCACATATAATGATCGACATCGGCCTACATGCAAACCTCACTGCTAACTCGAATAATTGCTCTAGCGTACCCAGGTTTCGTAGTTCAATAAAATCCTGAATTTAAGGTAAAAACATAGGCAGTATTATTTGGATAACCTTCGCATCGGGGTTTTTCTGATACAGTTTCGCAACTATATTTTACTCACTACGAACTCAGCCATTTTCAGTTATGTAAGCAAACCTTACTCCGGAAAAACTACAGTATTTTCCCTTTAACAGTTACAATCTATCTATTTTGCCAAAAATCAAGACAGGTTGCGAGTCGCATTTGAACTGGAGTAATGATGGGACTACTGACTGATTTTAAAATAATCAAAGATATGAGTCATGATTTGGTCAAAAATGAGGTTATACGTTTGGATGCGTGGGAATATAGTGATCATACTTTAAAATATACGCTATATACAATCCTCTGAACAACAAACCAAGTTTTACCTATTTCAATAATTCATCAAAAAGAATACTGATAGGAGATTTTAGTGCCCATTCTCCATCATGGGATTATCAGGATGTAAATGATCCTTGGAGAGAAGTCGAGGATCTTTTGAATTCCGATATGCTTGAATTCATTTAAGATCTCAAAGACTTAAAGATTTTTTTTACTATAACGCAAAATCATTTAATCCAGATCTTTTACTTGTATCATCAGATATATCTCCTACTATTAAGAGACAGATTTTAGATGACCCTGGTACAGGGCATGGTCAGGTTATAGCTGAAGTTACATTTGCTGGTCCAGTCCGAAGCATAAGAACTTCAAAAACGTCTTGGAGTTTCAAGAAAGCCAAGTGGAATGGTTTCAAAGATGTATCTAACCTTATGCTTGATCCCAATAAATAAAATTGGAAAGCTAGAGTTGATTCAACTACCAAACCTATTACTAACAAAATTATCTAAAGTGCAAAAAGTGTATTCCAAGGGGCAAATGCAAAGCGTACAGATTGTTCTGGACTGAAGAACTCAATACAATAAAGGATAAAAGAAACAGACTTCGGAAAAAGGCAGAAGTAACTGAACGCCCAACTGATGTTCAGGCACAGCGTAGAAAAGTCGCGGTTTTTAAGAAAGCTGTTCTCATAGAGAAAAGATTGTCTTTTAACAACTTTATTTTCAAGATGAGTTTTCAAAGAGCTGGGGAAAGAGGTTTTAAGTTCCTTGCAAATATTAAAAATGGTAATACTGGTACCGCCAAGAAATCATTTGTTTCCAAAGGTAGGACTATTGCATCATATCCAAAAACTGCAAATGCATTTGAACAACATTTGTATGGTATTCAACAAAAATCCAAGTATTGTAATAAACAATCAAAAACTTCGAAAAAGACTATTAGCATTTCTGTCCCCTCTTCCAATTTTCTCTGCCCAAATAACTCTTGATGAAATATATACGGATATAAATTACTTAAAAACTAATAAATCACCATGTGAGGATGAAGACTATCTTAAAGTTATTCAATCTTGTTTGGACCTCTGGCTGTGTCGTTTCTTTGTGGAGTAGATCTATTATAATACCACTTCATAAAAGGGGAAAGGACCAGGGAGCTTTTAAGGATTATATATCTATTTCACTAATAACTATACTATGCAAAACTATGGAAAGAATAATTCCAAAAAGGTTAAACTGTTATATTGAGAATTTTGGATGTTTAGCCAATGAGCAAGCAGGATTTAAGACAGTACAGATCAACTAACGAGCATGTCACTCTCCTTAGCCAGAAGGTAAACGATGCATTGGACAAAAAACACATCCTATCAGCTATTTTTGTAGATTTCCGCCTATGACTTGGTCTGCAGGGAGAGTTTTGCTTATTAAAACTATATAATATTGGTATCCACTTAAACACTGTATATTCCATTGGTTCAAAAGTTTTCTCGGCCAGCGAATCTGTAGAGTGCGCTTAGAAAACTGCTCCTCACATTTCAAAAATCTTAAAACTGGACTCGCTCAGGATGCCCTCACTAGTTGTTTACTTTTTAACTTTTATATAAATGACCTTATTACTAACCTACTGAAGATTGGTGATGTGAAATGCCTATTTTATGCAGACGATTTGGTTATCTGGATTGAAAATCCCCCAAAACGAGCTATATTATAATATGAAACTTCTATCAGGCTCTAAATAAACTAAACGATTGGTGTCATGTTAATAATATGGAAGTAAATCTACAAAAACTGTATATCAAACTTGACCCTCACACACCAACCGATCAAGCTAAATTTATTTTACCAAAATTCCCTGTTGTTCAGACCAACCACTTCTCTTATTTGGGTGCCAGTTTTGACCATAAACTGACATGGAAAGAGCATGTTCCTAATATATTGGAAAAAGTTACCAAGAAACTTACTTTACTAAAAGGAATTGCTAGCTCTAAGTGGGAATGCTGCAAAACAACCCTTGACCTGACCTATAATTCCTATATTTTGCCACTTATTACTTGCTGTTCCAAACCTTTGGTGGCGGTAAGTAAGCAAGTTACTGATAAATTGGAAAAATTCTATTTCCAAGCCCTTTGTCTTATCACGAGAGCTGTTAAGACATCTCCGATTGATGCGCTTTTGATATCTACCCAGCCATTATTAAATCAGTAATTGAAGAAAAGGCACTAATTTTATGAGAAAATATCGCAAGACACACAGGGAGAAAATATCGCAAGCACAGGGGGAAATCAGATTATTTCCCCCTGTGCAATAGCTCTTTCTCATCATCTTCACGGAAACCAATATGGTTTCCTTCAGAAAATTTTTAATACGAAAGAACAATAGGATTAAGAAAGAAACGAATGACATAATTCTCAATGCTGTAGCCTTGGAAACTATCCATGAATTTACCCAGATAATGAGTGGCTGCCTGTGTTTACAGAAGGCTCCATGTTGAATGACCATATGGCTCCATCCTAAATGACCAGCTGGAGCTGGCGTCTTCTGCAAGTTCTTCTCATTTTACACTCCAGTCGGAAGGTTTAAAACAGCCTTTGACACGGAGATCTCTGCAATTCAAATCACCTTGCCACAGCTCCAATGCCAAGCTGAAAATTATCCAAAGACTGTTATTCTGTCTGATTCTAGGGCTGTATTCCTTCCATTGCTTCATCTGAAGCTCCTATTTCAACTGATATTTTGAAGATTCGTCTGACCTTTAATGATATAATCGAAAACCATAAAGAGATTGCTTTGCAGTGGGTACCAGCACACTATGGAATGAAATAGCTGACTCCCTGGCAAAGAAGGCAACCAAAAGTGCTCAAGCAGCAGATAAACCAATTATTTTTTACACTGCCAAACGGTTAATTAAAAAATCTTTTAGAGAGAACTATTGGAAAAAAATCAAAGAGACAAAAAAAGACAAGAAATGGATTTAGGTAATCACAAATATTCCACTATGGCCAGGGGAGAGATCTGTTGCCACTTTTCTCCTGGCTGCAGGTCAGGATTGCTTCTCCAAATATCTATTTCGCATTAAAATACTGCCAAGTCCTCTTTGCCAATTGTGCAATATTCGTGAGGAAATGGACGCGAACCATTTGAGTCACTGCCCTGGACTGGGCTCGAGGCACTTGTGGGAAAAATACTGGAGAGCTCGGCGCAAGATGAATGATGTATAGAGTTACTGTAGTTTTAGTTTTATTACTTATTTCCTTTAGTTTGTATTTCCGACTACAGTTGTCTTTTAATCAGCCATCGAAAATAAAAAAACTCAGTCAGTTCTTCAACCTTAGTTTGATATCTACCAAAACTCTCCGCTTCTAGTTTCGCGCTTCATTCACCACGGGCTACACTTTCACAACGCGGTTTTAAATGCTTCTAACTCTCACTGCCTGGTTCACCCAACATAAATTTAACCATGCCTTTATATTACCGCAGTGCATGTTCTCGAAGCGCGGCGGTTACTATGATGGCCTTCTGTAATTCTGCAAACGGGTACAGTAGCATCTAAGATGAAAATAAAGCCCAAAATTTTACTTCTTGATTTTGGTAGAGCCTGCAATTTTGGAAAGGGGGATAGAGTAAATGCTACTTCTTCTTGTGACAGAATCCGTGATTTGTTCAGCCTCCACCTATAACTTGATCTGGTAATGCCATTTTAGACCTACAACCCTAACAGACGCGAAGCAAGTTATCGCTATGTCTGAGATAAACGACAAAGTCTTAAGAAGGTTATAATAATTTTTTTTTGTTCAAACAGAATTTGGAACATAAGGTCACAGTCTTGTGCTACAACCAGTGGTGATGCAGGAAAGAACAATCAAATTTAACTTAAACGTTGAACTGTAGTCAAAGATTACACAATTAAATACTAAACTAGAACCTGGCTCAATCATATTAACGAAGTGTCAAAGTCATTGAAGGCATTAATAAAAGTATTTTATCATCATAAATTGTTCATTCTTTCACTAACTAGAAATATTTTATAGAAATCCTAGGAAAATTTTTGGCAACCGAGTAATGAGCCATTATAGTAAATTTTATGTAAGATTGAGCAATGCAATACATGTCTAATGTTTTATTGCAAATTTCAATGGATAAATTTTATAGTTTTGTGATATCCAGTTGCTATATTAAATGCCAAACAGTGTTAAGTTTCGTCTGCATCTAAACCTTACTAGTTTAAAACTGCGAGAATTGATGTTGTGGAAATTTATGAAACTCAAAGTATTGAATTTTAAATTCGCCATTTTAGCTCAGTTTCGAATCGAAATTACCAAGTTGTATAATGACACAAATGAGGACTTGTGCAACAGAGATTTTGTAATTATGATCCCATATCTTCAAAAAGATATGTACTGGACGTGCCAATCAAGTGAACATGCATTTGCAAGGAATAAGATATTTCTATCTGAAATTCCTTAAATTCAGCGAAAAGTTATATTTCTGATTTTGTTTTGAAATAGATCAACTTTCCCCTCCATATAAAACACCTGTTATACTTTTTGTAAGCATTCAGATATTAGGTGAATGAATTATAGTGAAATTAAAGTACCTTGATAAATTTCCCCATATTTCGGAGATTCACATTGAAAGTCTGCATTGTCCTTTGGTCTTTAGCTTCAAATGATCCTAGATGGTGCCATATCGTCGTGGGGTAGATATCACTCCAGAAGGCGGAAAACTCTTTGGGAGATGAGGAATACAGTTCATAGTTGGCTAATTCAATCTACATCACAACATAATAAAAATAAACACGGTACAGATTTAAAAATGCAGATTTTGTGTTAAATAATTTACCAAAGATAAAATCTAAATGAATAAAGATAAATCTACCAAAGATAAAAGATGAATTATTCATCTGTTATCTTTGGCAGATGAAGAACACTGTTCATAGTTAGCTAATTCAATCAACACCACAATACAATAAAAATCTTATGTGGAGAACACATGACTTCCTTGTATGGCCTATTAAATTGTACACATTATTTGCTGCACTTTATTTAAACTTATTTTCTTGAATTTTCTCATTCAATTAATTCAATTCTTCCTTCGCGGCAAAGGAAAAATACATAAAATCTCAAAATATCTTCATTAAAAATTGTAAAATGCAGAAAGACATAAAATACCGAATACAATCAAAACAGTTAAAAATTTTTTTTTTTACAATTAAAATTAGAGCTTCTACAAAAAAAAAAAAAAAAAAAAAAAAAAAAAAAAAAAAAAACATATCGGCCAGCGTTCGGGAAGGCAGATTTTCCGGAGCACTAAACTGAATGTTTACATTTGGTCCCACTCGGGGAAAAGACACTGAGGTTGCAGAAACTCACTTGATTCACTTTTCTACTGAGTTTCAAATGTAAAATAAAGACCGGATCGTTAGACTTAACTGACCAAGCAAAGATCTCTTCAGAATCCATTTTAAATGCATTTTACAATCCTTTTTAACATAAACAATCCTTTATTGTATCCAGTATAGATGTAATTCAAAAACATCGTTCAAATGGTTTCGAGAGCGATTGAAATGAATATTTCATTGAAATGTGATATCCGAAATTTTTCGCGATTACAATACTTCCTTTACGTCATACAAGGAAGTAAAAACAAACACGCTACACATTTTGAAATGAAGTTTATGTGTTAAATAATTAAATACATTTCCCTAAAAATGCAATTTTTACAATCCATCTATTACGCGTCATATGTAAAACTCTGCTATTTATTGATTTATAAACCTAGGCAGGGGCGTAGCTAGAGGGGGGCAAGGGGGCATCTGTCCCCGGGCGCAGAATCCAAAGGGCACCAAACTGTTGTTACGACATTTTAGAATTAAATGTTTTCTATCCTTGGCAAGCTGTAGGGGGCGTGAAATCTTCAGTTGTCTCTAAGCGCTGAAAACCCTAGCTACGACTCTGAACCTAGGTAAATAATAAAGCAATGTATTCAATGCTGTTGTTGTTGTTGCTTATCCTCGAAAGATCTGACTTACGTCAGATCAGCTCCAGAAGATTGTTGAACGTATTCAAAGCTAGTATGATCAAATAAGAAATTTTAAAGCAAGTTCTCTACCTTTAGGAAATAATCAAAAACCGAATATTAAGATACTGGAATATTTTTTGTGAACTGCTCTACCTTCAATGTAATTAGTACGTAGACACTTGTAGTGTTAAGTAATTCGCAGGCTAGATCCATACACACAGTACAGAAATTCCTAGGTGTGCTTTCGCAGATTTTACGCAGAAATTTCTGTCAGCTTTTGTAGAGGTCATGAAGCATTTTCAAAACCATTCTCTGAGCAATCTTTAATTTATTACTGCCTTGTACGAAGTAAAAGAAGTATTTTCCTTTACTTTGCACAAAGAAGATTTACTGAACTATGATACCCAAAATTTTTTTGCGGTTACAATACTTCCTTGTACTAAGTAAAGGGAATATTGTGAAAAATTTTGGACTTCATACTTCAGCTGTAATTTCCATTTTAACCGTTTTCGAATCCATTCGGACGATTCCTTTTTGCTTGATTTCTGTATCTACGAACATGTACGTATCTCGCATACCTCGAAAACGATTAGCCATATAAAGTTGAAATTTTTTATATGGATCTGCCATAACATTTAGTTGCACCTCCCTTTTTAATCGCAATCGGTAGTACCAAACGTGTATACATATACCGTATGTTCTGGCGTATAAGGCGCACTTTTAATAGAAAAAATGAGATCGAAATTTACGGGGGCTTTATACGCCGGATATAAAAATGATATATTTAAAAATAAGGAAAAGATGAGCACACAAAAATTTGATTTCTGCATCTACCTAAACGCTTTTATTCTGAGGATTTTCTATGATCCAGTTCGCAATATTGACGTCTAGGATAGGCCATTTCCGCAACGAACATTCATATTTTTCTTCCATTCACATATGGAGCTTTCAACAAAACCAAGCATCTGTACCAGCGGCACGATTTCCATTTCTTTTCGCAAACTGAATGACTTTGCATTTGAAACCAGCACTTTGTTTATTTCATTTGGCAGCAACCACATTATTAAAACGAAAATTAGATTAACTGCATTTCAACTAAAGCAAACGCGGTTTACTAAAACCTTCGATGTTCATTTCAGAATCAGGGCTACAGATGAGTACAGAAAGAGCAAACATCTGACACTAATTCCGCAAATTCATTCTGGTTGGAAGTATTTCCATATCCCAAAGTATTTCCTCTTTTTTCCTGAAAACCTAGAATAACATTCTTGTTCAGAACTGCATTGAATATAACCCATTCTCTTTGCACAATTATTTACTCCCTAAAGCATTTCCCGACGCATATATTGTTCTCCTTATCGCTTGTCATTCAGTATACCTTTGTTCGATAAGCCTGAAAAAGATCTTCGAATTTAAGACTTAAAAAAAAAATAAAAAAAAAAAAAAAAAAAAAAAAAAAAAAAAAAAAAAAAAGCAGCATCACACATGCAGTTTTCAGGCTCCTTCATTAAAATGTTTTTAAAAATTATGCAGCGAATATGACTAAAATTTTTTAAAAATTGTAGTTTGAAATTACAGATGCGTGTTATAGGCCTGTATATGTATATGTTATATGTCCACTCTCTAACCCAGATTAAGAGTTCCTTACTCGCTTTTTATTTTCGCAGTTGTTGGTCGTAGTTATATTACTTTCAATAACATAAGTGTTTTAAACGACGAGAATATTTATGTTTTGTAATGCCAGTTTTAAAAAATAATTTATTTTCGACAAATAATGAAATCTAACTTTTAATGCTATCCCCTAGTTGTTATAGTTTTATTTGGGAATGTTTTATACTTGTTATAAAAAATAAAATTCTACGAAATCCGACTCTCGTACGAGAAGACATTGAGCGGAATATTTAATTTCAAGATTTGGAATTTTTGATGTCACTTTCAACTTGTCTTGAGACATAGGTTAATTAAGTTAGAATAATTCGAGGAAATAAATTTAAATAAAGTGCAGTAAAAAATATATAGAATTTAATAGGCTGTTCAAGAAAATCATGTGGTGTCCTCATCAGATTTTTTAGGACTGCATTCTTCAGACTTTCTTCGGTGGAAAACTGTCACAACTGAAGTCACTGTTTCAAACCTGTGAATGGTGATATAATAATAGTTTATACATGTTTTAACGCTTTTGTTTTATGTCAATATCATGTTTGTGAAAATCAGTGCCTTTTATAATGAAAAATCTAAAAAAAAACAAACTGGTGCATTTTAAAGGTAACTAGAGTGTTAATCTATTGACTTCATGAGGAAATCTGTAAAACACATCAAGCAGGCTTCCGATTAATAGGTAAGTCTTAATGTAATAATAATAAGATTAAAAATCCAAATGATTTTTTGTAAGAGGGCGAGTGCTTACTTAAATTTGTTGTTAACTGTAAAGCCTGGGAGTAACTGTTTTAGCTCAACGTAACCAGTTCAGGAACCAGACAAAATTCAAATACAATACTACAAGTTCTGCTAGGTAAAATGCATTTGGTTGATGCGGAAGATGAAGAGCTGCTGGTTTGCCTAAAGTACTGAAAACTAGAAATTGCTTATCTATGGGTGATAGCGTTTTTGTGTAATTGCATCCATTAATTATATATTCGAAGTTGATTAATTAACTTCGAATATATAATTAATGGAAATTAGTAATAACCTTAAAGACCAAAGCTTCTTGATAACAGCGGTTATTTTATATGTCCTTCTTTTGTTTGTCAGTACTTTTGAAGCAATTTACGAAATTTTCTCGTCATTTTGCTTTGCTGAACATTTCATTAGTACTGCCGCATTCGCATAAATACTGCCATATCATAAATACTGCCAATATTTTAGTACATAAATACTGCCGCATTCGTACTGCTGATCTCGTCATTTCGTGTTGCTGATCTTCTATTGGGTTTATTGTCTTCAGCCTTTTCGCTGAGTCTATTAAAATCATGTATGTTATTCGAAAGCTTCTAAATTGAGCTTGAAACAAAATTTGCTTCAGCACTTCTTAATTTTATGTTTTTAAATATACACGGAAATTAATGTCTTTCTGCCTATCATTAAATACCATTTTTTCTTACATCCCCAGCTGCAAAACACCTGGCTCAGAATTCTTAAACTTCTTAGAAGAATCAAGTGAAGTAATTTGTCGAAGTGTTTTATCAATTCACGGGATTTCAAAGTAATTTAATCAATAATCACATACTATCTGTACAGGCATGTAAATTTCGAACATTATAATCCGATTTATAAAAATTTATGGTACAGTGGTTTTTCTTTCGGATGCATTATTTAGATACAATGAAATTAATTTTCAAGAAATTTTCAAATAATGAAGTTATTTCTAAATAAAAGACAGTACAAAAGAATTTTTGAAAGTTAAGTTCATTTTTTATGGCCATAAATAAAAATATTAACCTCTTAAAATTTATATAATAATTAAGATATTCCAAGTGAAATGTAAACTATGTATAAACAATAAAAGTGCTGATAAAAATTTTAATTTATCGTGAATGTTTTTTAATAGTGGCTGATTTTTATTTAGGTGTCGAAATATTTGTTTATGTATCGGATTTAATATATAAGGTGTTCACTAATTTTTGAAAAGGTCTAAAAAATGCTGCAATATGTAATACTAGTGTAATATATGTGTAAAACGCTTTAAAATAATAATATGTAATATAATATATAACAATATATAACACTTCAAAATATGCACAATATATAACACCAGTGTAATACTTTAAAACAATAATATATAACACAACAGATAACAATATTTAACACTTCAAATATATGTACGCTATATAACACTTCAGCAATATGTATACTATATAACACTTCAGCAATATGGATACTATATAACACTTCAAAAATATATACAATATGTAACACTTCAACGATATGTACACTATATAACTCTTCAAAAATATACACAATACATAACACTATATAACAATAACGTTACAATATATAACACTTCGAAAAGATTACAATGTGCAGTATTGAGCCACATCACTAGATATGATATGCAAATCATAGACCTATGAACCGTATCAGGTTAAACAACAGAATTAATGAAGAATTACTTTTCTTTAATATCTTTAGATTATGCTGTTAAATTTGCTGTCTGCTATTCGTTTGAACTTAAGTTACCAATTCTATTCCATTCTTTTACGACATTCCAGATTTGAATTCATTGCTCTTCGCAAATTTAATGATAGAAACTTAACTCTTGTTAAAAGCGAAAAATTAAATTTTCGAACTTTGATTTAATAATAACACGAAAATGATATAATAAAAGAAGTCAGTGAAAATGAATATTACTACTAATGGTGTTTCATAGCCGTTGATGCAGCGTAATCAATTACAATCCTTCTAACTGCGTGTGTCCCTTTCTTCAAAGAGACTAATAGGACTTTAATGTAACTGATATCGAAAATTCTTTTAACACCTTTTCAAACGCAACACTTTTGCTAAGTTCGAATACATAGTTCGGTTCTTCCTTTCTTATAATTGCTTGATCTACGCGAAATACAACGTCAAACGAAAGTTCCTGAATATTAAATATTGCAGATGGAAATCTACTATTGAAAGTTAGTTCAGATAATACGCGTTTCTAGAAAGAATAGCCTGTTGCGCTTTTCGTTTGTACGAGGGATACGAGTTTTAGTATTGCGCATTATGGTAACACTAAAACCCGTATCTCACCTACGAATGCGTTATTCTGTATTGCGCCTTATGCGCAGGTTTGCAGAATGATAACAAATTCGTGATTTAAATTTTTTGGAAGCACAGTCCTTTGGCATCATTCCAGTGCAGAATGGAAGCCAGTTAGGATATCTCCCTCTTTTCCATATCTCCAGTTGCTTAAACTTTGAAACAGAGCTGTTCCTTTCATCTCTTATGCTAACGATCACGAACAGAAAGATAGGAAAGCTAAATTTCATTATTCGGTCTAACGTTCTTCAAACTGACAAATCATTTATGACAGATTGCATGTTTGCATATGGCAAATCGCAGGGGAGGGTTGTTTGCTTACGAAGGATGCCTTCGTGGAGGGCTTTTTAAGAGAAATTGCCCAGTTGCCTAGGCTAGGTTGCCTAGCCGGGACAAATTAATAGTATTCAGCAGTGGTGGACCGTTAGACAGTAAAAGAACAAACGAATAGGAATAGATATATAACTAATTTCCAATTATTTAACATGTTGAAATTAAAGAGAGAAGATCAAGAAAGCTTACGTGTGTAATTTCGATAGTATCACATAGCTCGACAACGAACCATGTGGTAACTCGACAGGGATTCAGCATATATTCGTCCGCTTTCTCGTTCAAGACTGCCATCTTATGTCTTGCTTCCGGATTTGACACAAGAACTTTAGCTCCGCATTTCGCAGATGCATAATTGAGTTTCCTTCTTGATAAACTCTTTGTGTTTTGACGCTTTTCGGTGGTCATACTTTGTTCTAGGAGATAAAAGAAGATAATAGAAAAATATGCTCATATATTGCTATCTATAACTATCCACATACACCCACATATATTATATATTCTTTTCTTTATATATGTATAACCGGCTAAAGTGTGTGTCGCCGATAGTTTATTGTTGCCACTCGGAAAAATGAGCGCGCAAATTAACGTTTCGCAGTTTTTAATTAATATCTCGGCCAATTAAAGTCGTACAAAGATGAGAACGGTATCGATGGATTCAGAGAATTTTTTGGAATCCGAGGATATGCGTTTCGCATTTCAACTCGATGCCGTTCCGTAGATATTCGAGAAAAAGAATTTGGCACGTAGCCAAATCTTTGTAATAGGGAAAACCCAAGAAAGAAAGTGGAAATTGTAGGGAAAACGTAGCGGAAAATTAGTTTTTAATTAACATCTCGGCTAATTAAAGTTCCAAGAAGACGTGAATGGTCAAAATAGCGTGCCACGGACTTGCGGAATCCAACGGTGTGCTTCGCTAAGCCCGGAAGCCAGCCGTTTCGGAGGAAATTATGCTACTTCACCCCATATATATATGCAGCTTAAGTGTCTGTTTGTCGCCGATAGTTTATTGGTTGCTTGCGTAACTGTACTAGCCAATGGGGTGAAGTTGCCACGGCACAGGGTTGCCGTTTCAATTGAGACAATTTCCTGTAAAACTTGCCTTTGCTATGACCATCAATAAGTCTCAGGGACAAACGCTTAAGCGTGTTGGCATTTTTTTACCTGAGCCTGCATTTGGACACGGTCAACTTTATGTTGCCTGTTCAAGAGTTCGTGAAAGAAGGGACGTAAAGTTAAAAATAACTGATGGTCCTCTCCAAGTCGAGCTTAAAAATAATGGAAAGATCTACACAAGAAATGTTGTATACAAAGAGATCTTTGGCATGTGAATTAATATTTTATTATTTAAATCACCTTTATTTATTGAGCTCCCGGTGGCTCTTAAGAAATGTACCGCCAGTGGTTTCCTTCATTGCACTCTACTTTAAGCAATTAAGCAAGGGGAAAACCCCGTGGGGCAATAAGCAAAGGAGCGCCCTCGCCGCCTGCCCTGGGTAATTCAGTTTGAATTAGCAGACATCTTTGCCCAAATAATTTTAATTACAATTTATAATATCTAGAACAGTGGTCAATTCGTATGACCGCCGGGCTTTCTGTATCATATATATATATATCTATATCTATATATATATATATATACATAAATGCTGTTACATGTATTAAAATTTACAAAATAATCATAAAGAAAGTATTTAACAATGTAAATTTCCCTCATCCATAGCCAGTTGACAGTTCCTAAAAAAGTGCAAGCAAAAGAGTAAAAGTTGTGATAATGGTACAGATATGAGAGCAAAAATAAAATACCTGATAAACTGGAATAAAATTACAAAGGCGTTGACGTCGTGTGAATGTTAAAGCCAAATCCAATACCACTGAGCAATTAGTCGAAAAATCCCTTATTTCTTCTTAATTGAAATCTCAATAGCTTGAAATCTATATGGTAAAAGCGATGCAAAATATGAAAGTAAAAATAAACATAATCAATGGACAATGCATGTTTATTTATTTCCAAATATCTTGGTTTTGGCTTATAGCGTATGCCGTTACCTGCCTTCTTTCCTTTGTTATTTTACACAAAATTAGAAACTGTTAATTGCGGAGCACGCGTTTAAATACTATCTGTCCATGTGCTCTTCCGTCACAAAGAAAGCACACTGGAGTTTTCTTGAATCAATGTAAAACAGATGCACATTAGGGCAAATATGTCCAGTTAAAAAACAGAACAATGCTTCTACTGGAGTATGAAAGAAATATGGGCTTGTTTAGAAGTTATTGCCAACCTTTCTCTTAGCTTTTTATGCATAAATATGAGTCAAAAATCTTCCCAAATTCCATGTTTTTCAGTCTTTTAGAAAAATGAAATGTTATTAAATTTTTGGTTTTTTTTCTTGCGTTTTTGCTTCTGAAGGAAGGGGGACCTATGACTGGTCGCCCACCGAATTGATAGAGTTTTCCTTTTGCTCCTAAAGAAGAGTAGCTTGCGTCCGAACGTTTTTGTAACTGACAGAATTTCTAGTCAACTGTGCGTTGGTAGTGTGCGTAGTTTAGGTTGTAAGAAATAAGATGCGTAGTTAACGATATCGTTTAATTATTTATTCTTAGCGAGAACAAAAACAGTTATCACAACGAGAAAATTTTGCGTGTGATCGTTCTACTGCGTAGTAGTAGACTATATCAGTTGCCACTTATCAGAGACTAAACTTTACATTATTTCTTGTTGCCAGATCTAACAAATTAACATAATAAATACACAATAACAAAAATGCGATGGGAAAGTGTTCCATCAGCCAAACGACAAAGTACGGAACATCGAATTAAGGAAATAAAATAAGGAACATCAAATTAAATTTTACATTGGCATGTTTCCCTTTTAATTTGGTTGATATATACTGCTTTTCTAGAAGTCTGTTACGAATATACATATAATATTAACATTTTTATTACATTTTTGGATTTTTAAATTAAAAAAAACAATTTTATTAAAATTTCAAAATTTAAATTTTATAAATTCTCCTAGTACCTAGAGTTCTATTTAGAAAAGTTTTATTCTAATTATAAGACAAAAATACAAAAATTTTGATTTCCATATGACAAAAACTGATAGAAATATTCTATGCGAAATCTGGAATTCGCATCCACGTACATAAACGGAAGAACGAAATGTTTGCATTTGTTCATAATTAAAAATAAACATCAGTTTAGAAAATTATTTCTGATATTAATAGGTTAAGCGACGAACTTTACTCTGCAAACTGTCGAGAAAATAATTGACTAGACTGTTTTTCAACAAACAGACCGTTTGAACGCCCAGAATCTTACAAAATCCGTGTTTTAGAAAACACTGACAAGATTCAGGTTTGGCTCATAGTCTTTTCGTAATATTATTTTCAGGAATTAAAAATTAAAAATATTTTCTAGGTTATCGAGTTTTTAATGTGATTATTAGATAATTTTCCTTGAAGTAATAAAACTATATGAAAATTTTCATCCCGCATTTTAGCATATGAAATTGTAGAGGTTATTTTAAGTTTCTAACGTGTCTTTTAATTTTTAAACATGCCTTACTCTCTGTTCTTGTTTCCCATCCACTATTCCCTATAAGTTTTTAGTATTGCGTTACAGGTAAGGGTACAAAGAATATTTAAAGGAAGGTTTCGCTTACTTCAGCAGAAGAGCTTAGGAGTCCTTATAGGCAGGTTTTTGCCGCCAGGTTATTTCTTTATCTAAAGCTTGCTGATATTTGCCGGTTATTTTAATTAAAAGCCATATACGTTAGATGATTTTATACAGATTCTGTTTAGTTTAACATTAGCTTAGTTTCTTGTCTTGAGTTAAAGGCCCAAGTAGAGGCTTTTCTGTAAGTACGAGAATGAGGCCGTCTTTTTTCTTAGTTTGAGATAATAATGGGTGAGTTTAACCCTTCTCTGGAGTTTTCATCTACACTTGGACTCAGCTATAAGTCGCTACATAGTTCATCTAGTTTTCTACTAAGTTAAGCATAGACAAAATAATTATTCATAGCCCAATGCTCAAAACTTCATCACACCAATAGACAAAATAATTAGAAAGATTACAAAATTTATAAATTACTTTGGTGAAAAATTTTTCAGCGTACCATTTGTAGTAAAATTATGAATTAGATGATGTAACGTATTAGTAAATCATTGAAGGATATTTTTGAATGGCGTTAATCAACCTTAAATTATTCTAACTAATTTGTTAACAGACCCGTAAAAGAACGTTGGAAATGCCTTCAAATATGTCGAAGTTTTAAATTATACCTGTCAACGTGCTTTGTTTAATTTTTATAATGTGTATAAAATTTTTCTAATTATAAGTATAGGAATTGAGAAACCATATAAAATTTAAGACTTTTTGTCTTTTTTTTTAAAACTGATTGTTTCAAATTTGAAAATGCCAAATATTGAATACTTGAGTCATTTAAAACACTTTTGTGATTGGAAGTACGTGTCTGTAATAACCAACAGAGGTGAAAATAAAGAGGCTGCATAAGGAATTTTGTGGATACCGTACGTACATTCATCACAAAAAATTATTTGTCTGTCTATGATTAGTGTTAGTGTCATCGGCAAGGGTTTCACTTAACAGAAGGCTATTAACAGCCAAATTTTTGAAATTTCAGAAATACAGACTTGGAAATCCTGGGATACCGAATTTTCAAACCACTACATAATACAGGGATCAACGTTTTCTTTTATCATGAGAAAAAAGACCTCGAAAAATTATATTTATGTCGCATTCTTTTAATCTGTACCTTGTTTAGTAATTTCCCCTTCTTTCCATTCGTTGAAAGATGGTATAATACTGTACTCCTTCTTTGATACTCTTTCAGCTTTACTTGCAGCAGATTTTATGAAGGATTCCAAAACATCTGTATGCTTCTTCCATACCAGAGGAATATCTTTCGTCAATGAGTTCTTTTCTTTACTGGGCTTTCTCAGAGGGTTTTGCTTTCCATCTTGGAATATATCATAACTGAAAAACAGAAATTATGAAGTTAAGTTATACTTAATCAATTTAATAGGCCAGGAAACCATAATAATATGTAGGACAGTTAGCTAGTTCCATTAAATAACTTTAAAACAGTTAGCTAGTTACATTTTAGAGTCTATTTCTTTAAAGTTGGGTACTCTACTGTTATCAGGACCAGATACAGAAATGTATGTATGAATGCATGTATGTATGGATATATGTATTCATGTATGCATGCATATATAGGTGCGTGTGTAGTATATGTATGTATGTGTAGTATATGTATGTATGTGTAGTATATGTATACACACATATATATATACTCAAATACATACATAAACATGTGCATACATATATACATTTCTGAATTCAGTCCTCATAACAGAAGAGTACCTAAAGTTGTAATTAAATGTAAGGTGTATCTTTAAAGCAATATATTTTCTATCACAGCTTAAAACAACACAGAGTGATTATTAATTCTTTTTGGGATTTCGAAAGAATAGGACATTAACTACAACATATACAGCAGAATGGCACATCAGTGTATAAAGAAATCTCCCCAAATTTTCTTTGCGTATTGCAAGCGATCTAGGAACGAGACAGACATCAACATAATTCATATTCTAGCTTCACACTTTCCAACATATCATGACTGATATCAGCGACTGCGAGGTAATTTCTTATATCAGTGGTAAATGAGCAGGGACACGATTTTGGATATAACCAAATAAGCAAAAATTAACATGGGATTACATCAATTGAGCTAAGAAGTCATGAAAGAAGGCGAGAGTCAATCCCCAAGAAGCATCTCCATTCCAATGACAAGAGAATGAGCGCAGACTACCTCATGAAAATGTGGATATCCTCATTTTATAGAAAAAAGAAGTTCATGCTATCTTCTCTGGAATTCTGCTATTAACTACACTCATGTCCAAAATTATCTTTACATACCCAAAAATGATGATTCAATGAAATATCGAATCAATGTGATCCGTATTTGCAGGGAATGTGTGAAAACCAAGCCTAATTAGCATTATCCAATCAAAAGTAATCAAACGGTTTGTGATATGCAAATCTAGGCGTTACGTGAATCAAGCGCTTTGCGCAAACTGAATATTTGAGTGAATTTCTGCAACATAGCGTTTGATTTCAGTGTGTAGGGACTCAAAGCGGTTTGTTATGGCTTCGAAGTATCATTTGGAAGAATCTGTAAAGTGGCGAATTATCTGCCGTTTAGAAGCAGGGCAGTCAATCATGGAAACAGCCACATGTCTGAATATTTCAAGACAGACAGTCTCTAAGCTATGGAAGCAGTTTCAAAATGATGGAAGTGTTGTAAGGAGGCCTGGACAAGATTCGGAAACGAATGACAACTGCTTCTGAAGATCGGTATCTGGCATTATTTGCCCGTCGTAACAGAACGGCTACTGCTCGCCAGTTAAGTTCAGAGCTTGCAGCCGCCACTGGAACTGTTGCATCACGGCAAACAATATACAGAAGGCTTAATGAAAAAGGCCTTTATGCCAGAAAGCCAAGGGTATGTGTTTTACTGTCTTCACAGAAAAAGAGGGATCGCTTTAATTGGTGTAAAGAACATCAAAACTGGACTGAACATCAATGGTCCCATGTTCTCTTTATTGATGAGTCGCGGTTTAGTTTAAACTGGTAATTCTAAACGTGTTTTTACATCTGGAGGGAGTCAGGAACACGAAATGATCCCTCGAACATTGTGGAACGTGACCGTTTCGGTAGTAAAGGGTGTGATGGTATGGGGTGGAATAACGATCGATGGACGTACGCCCCTACACGTGTTCAGCAGCGGATCTGTGACAGGCCAGATATATCGAGATGAGGTCTTAGATCCTTATGTAAGACTTTTCAGGGGTGCATATGGACCTGACTTTTTATTTATGGATGATAATGCCCGTCTCCATCGAGCAAACCTCGTTGATGAATTCCTTGAAAGTGAAGACATTAAGCGAATACCTTGGCCACCAAACCCTCCTGACCTTAACCCGATAGAGAACTTATGGGACTACCTTGGAAGAGCAATTGCACGTATACATCCTCCTCCTAGAGATGTAAATGCTCTGAAGACGGCATTGCTGGAAGAGTGGAGATTAATTCCCCAAACTGTGGTTAACAACGTTATTTCCAGCCTTAAAACACGTTGTGACGTGTGTGTACAAGTCAGGGGAGATCATATTCCATATTAAATTCGTAAGACTTAATTCTTTTTCTGAATCATTCCTTTTTTTCTTAACTCTCTTTGTCACACTTTATTACCATTTTTATTGTTTCATGCTACAATTTTATATCATATGAGGTGATCTTCAATTTTTTCTTTTGCATTTATGTGTCATCATGTTATGCATGATTCCACGAAAATTTATTAAATTATAAGTCATAGTCTCTGAGAAATCCGTGAATTTATGCATGTAAACATAATTTTGGACATGAGTGTACTTTTGCCGTCCCAAGAACTGATCCGTATAATGGTTAGTGAAACTGACATCCATACCGAGGGTTCCTGGTTCGAATTTTGGTGAAAACATGCATGTTTTCAGGCGTATAGTATATGCATAGTAAGCGCTGTTTACACTTTTTTATTATTCGCATTTTAATCATAGTATACTTTATGTATATTTGCTCATTTGATAAGATATTTTTAGGAAATTTATTACAGTCGGAAACATTCTGACATGGAAAATGCAAGACAAAATATTTTAGAAGTATATAAACAGAAAAGCGAAGAAAGTTTCCATAAAATTCTAAAGGATAGGATCCCTACTGGCTTACTGTCTGCTTCACAAACACTCCACGTCTTAATATATAACGTACAGTGCCCTCTGTTAGGTAGCCTGTTGCTCTATAATTGGCATTCTCACCAGAGAAGAAATCTGCTAACAATGAAACTTTTCACCTATTAACAAAACCAATGAACAGAGTAAAGAGAAGCATTTGCAAACAAACTAAGTAACAAATTTAGGAAGACTTGAGTTAATGTGAATGTTGTATAACGTATTACATATGTACCATTTTAATGGAGAAAATGCCAAGTGTCGTTCAAGGTCTTCAACACCTACGACTAATCTCTCAAACTGATTTGCGTCTTGATGCTGTTTTAAGAGCTCCATATGCTCTTAAAACAGCATTTAAGAGTCTTTAAACAGTTTTAAGAGCTTCAAAGACTTTATACCTTTGTAAACATCCATGCTTTCTCTATATCTGAACTCGAAGACAGTGATAATTAAGTCCGCTCACTACCAATACCGATCAAGACAACAATCAATAAAAGTGAAGTGTATTTGTAAACTTTTCCTCAGTTTAATTATGCTAATATTTTTTCTCCAAGATCCAACTAAAATTATTTAATTCCTAATTCATTTATCAATCTTTAACTCTTTCAAAATAAGATTCTAAATTCTGCTACACTCATTTCTTAGACGCTGACGAGAAACCTTCTCCATTATTAAAGAAGTCTAGTAAAGAACTCAAGTTATTATCTTTAGTAAAAATTTATAATATGAAGTAAAAATTTTTGTTATTGATAAATTATATCAAAAGATAACGAAGTAGATTTTTGTTTTGCCCATTACATCATTAGTTATATCTCCTCCATTGCTAAATAATGTAGAATCTATATTTATGCAGCTAGAACCATTAAATTTTGAACACTCATAGTCCTTGACCCACACAAGTGCCTCTCGAAGTGCGAACTTGAATTTTTTTTATTTATTTCTTATTTTATGCGAGATTAATGAATTTTTATTAATAAACTCAATGATTCAAAAGCAATGTGTTACTACGGTTCGGAAAAAATATTTTTATGTACTTCTCTCCAGTATATTGCCCTGTTTGCTGTATTTCCCATGTGTCCCATATTTGCCATATTTACTACCATTTTAATCAAAAAACTCGTACATGTAAAAGTGATATTTTGCTACTCCCGAGAATTAATGCTTTTACCTTCCACGTGTCAATTAGTTGCCGTTTTCCTAAGCATAATATATCTAACTTTCAAATTCAATCTGTTATTGATTAATAAACTAAGGAAATTAAAAGCAATAAATGCAATTCTCAATAAAACTTTTTAATTATATTTACTTTTAAATAAAAATTAATTTAGTTGTCTCGCCGAATTGAAGTCATGCTATTAATTCGTACGTAAATTCTTCAGTATTCATTACGTTTAGTGCGTGCAGTCTGTCCTACATAATGTCATATTACTACTTTCAGACCTTTTCTTGGTTTTTATTTCTTTAGAAAGATTACCCAAACTTCATTGCAAGGTAGAGGAACGACTGATGGTTTGGGATGTATGCACAATTGGCAGTTTTGATTTAAAACACATCTATTATAGATCTACTAGAAGCTTAATATCATAATAACAGTAGAAACAAATTAATAATCAATCTTTAAATGCGCAGAAGAAATACTTAGATACTCTTCAAAGATAAATATAGTTATCGTCTTCATTACGGGAAGATCTTGCTAGCAACAAGAGTCTGTCTAATTAAGACTCAGCTCTTTTGTACTTGCTCTGCCTGGTACATTTTGCAGATTGAATTAATCATGTTTGTTTGGCTTTTATGTTGTAGTTTACGTCCTCTGGTTCATTTGAGTTGAAGAAAGTTATCAGGTGATGCAGAGGTCGATCAGCTCCTGAAACTGAGAAGCTTTGACAACAGACACAGTAAAAATCACTAGAATCCTCTAACACTGGTTGAGGACATTACTGAACAAATTATTAAATGTGTAATATCAAAGCATGTTTTCGCGCGCCTTCTTAATGGCTTGACTTGTCTGGCGTTGGAATTTAGATTGCGACATATGAGTGGCGGCAAGCATGAATTTTTTTATCTGTCTCTAGTCTGTGATAGTAGAAAGAAAAAAATGAACTTTGCTACAGAAATAATAGCTACAACGGTTTTAACAGAGTTACCAATGTGGCTCCTATCATTAAATTCTTCAATTAAAGGGAAGGCAAGATAACATGGAACAACTGATATTTGAGCTCAGTACTGCCAATATGTAATGAAAAATAGAGTAGCATATCAAAATTAATATAAATTTATTTGAGAAGATCTGAATTAAAAATAGAAATCATATTCTCTATATTCAATTCTTAATGTATACACTCCAGTTATTTTCGGAGCATAATTGAAAGTAGTTGTCCTATTAAAGAAATTATACAATGAACTGTAAGTCATCGTAATTAATAGAAATTATACAATGACTACAGTTCATTGTATAATTTCTATTACATATAACGTCTAGAATCGTCGGCCTGGAACGGTTGATTGAATTAGTCTAATAACAAAACGTTTGGCTTATTATTAAAAATCATTGCTAGCTGAGCCCAATGAAATTGCATTCATTTGCCTAGACTAATCAAAGTCATTACAGAATTTTTCTTTTTAATAATGAATATTTTAGATAGCAGGCCCCGCAAGCGGGTAGTTAATTAAAATAAAAAAGCATAAATATTACTAAGAAATGCATACTTCTATAAAAGTTTAAAATTAATTGATTTATTAAGCATCATGCCGTTTTAATTTGAGCAGCAAACTGAAAGTGTTATAGAAGGTAGAATGAGTACACCTCTAAAACACAGCCATTTGCAAAATTGCGAGGGTGATTGCGGAATAGGGCACTGAAGAAACTCCATAGTAGAGCAACATTTCGTGACAGGAAAAATAAAACTAGAACACGATCGTTTCAAAGTGCTTCAACTGACCATCTGTCTTCTAAATATAAACAAACATTATGATTCTACATTGAAGTCTTCATAATTAACAGCGGCGAAGGGGTAAAGTCTTTGAACGCTGGTAATTTAGTCAAGGCTCAAATTCCAGCGAACATATGTACTAGCTGCATGAGTGCTTTCGAGTTTATCCCCATGTGTAATGTGTATACGAATGAGTTTCCCTCAGAAGCTCCTTCACGAAGATCCGAGTCGAGTGTTTTACCTTAACCAAAACAAATCAAACCAAAATTTCATAACTACAATGGATAAAAGGTAAGATGAGCTTATGCACCTTATGACTTAGGCAAAGAAAAAAAAAGGAGCTATTTTTCTAACGGGAAGGATGGTTTCATGAAGAATGTTTTAAAGGAAACTTGATTATATTCATATTACAAATGTTACACATTCTTATTGAGCACGAGTCGAACTATCAATGTTTATCAGTGTTATCCATTAGGCTACTGCCATCGCCTCACGTGAAAGCCGACAAATTTTATAACAGAAGAGACAATTTTTTTATTCCTCTAATAAAAGTAGCCTAAAATTCGCAGCAAATATTAACATTGAGATTATAGCAGATTGGTTGAAATTCACAAATTCTGAAATAAATGTAGATTTCTTATAGATCCATTATTAGCTAATATTTCTTGCTAGCAAATATATTAGTTAATGTTTCTCGTTTATTAACTCAGTTTACTGATTACCTTAAAATTTACATTATACTGATACTTCATTTATATCATCTTAAACACTTAAACGAAGAATTGCGGTAACTGTTGTTTTGGTATCCAAACTGCACAGAAAAATGTGCAGCCAATTTTTAAAACTAATTCATAAAAAAAAAAGAAATCCATAAGAATTTATTACTAAATTCAAATAAATTAAATTACGTTTCATTTCCATTATTATTTGAAACATATATTCACTTACATTTTTCAAGCAACACCAGAAAGCAAGTAGCACTTACTTCGAGGGTAAATTCCAAGTTAAACTCCAGTAGAGAAGATAAAGAAGCAACAATAATTGTAATGCAGATGTAATTTCACTCTTAAGATCCATTCTGTATTTTGTGCCTTAAATCGAATTTATAGCAAGGTATGAAATTCAATATATTCATGATAGCTTTAGTAGACTTTGCCATATTCAGTTAAACAAAGAAATAAACAATATTTTCATTCTGGAAATTAGTTTTTACTTAAAGTTCAGACCATATGCTTTCTCTAGTTTCTTTCGCGAAAACAAAGGCTTATAAGAGCTATATATATGCGTTATCTGATTTCTAATCAATCTATATTCGATAAAGTAAATGTATTGAACAATGGCTTTGAAAACATATCTGAAAAAAAAAATAACAAGAAAGAAAAAGATCGTTGGTTATCTGTGTATAAGAGTGAGTTACTTTGTATTACATTTGTAAGGATTAGTGAATTAGTAGCTGTGTATATGAATATGTTTCTCGGGAGATTGCCGAGACATTAAATTAAAGTAGATTTAATACAAGGCACTTACTTTATAATTTCATCTCACTTACTCGTTAATTTTATTTTTAGTTTTACATAAAAGTTATTAAAAAGGCTATTATACAAAGTTTATTTTAAGTAACGTGTTTTTGTTTATGTTAAAATCTGTTCTATACTTCTATCCCAGTAAAATATGCAAAAGGAAGCAACTTTAAATAGGAATAAGTTTAGAGAAGGAAGATTGGCACTTACTTTATAATTACAGCTCACTTACTTTATAATTTTATTTTTAGTTTCATATTAATGGTACTAAAAAGGCTATTATACAAAGTTTATTTTAAGTAACGTGTTTTTGTTTATGTTAAAATCTGTTCTATACCTCTATCGCGGTAAAATATGCAAAATGAAGACATTTTAAATAGGAATAAATTTAGAGAAAGAAGATTGGCAACATCAACCTACCTGTAAAAGAGATCTCTGTTTGTGTCCAACGTCAGCGGTATTTCTATTAACTGGTGAGGTTCCCCTTTGCTTTGAATATTAAGTATTTTTTCCTGAAATGAATCGATTCAGGTACTAGGATATAACTTAACATAATTGTTAATAGTTTAGTTTCATGCTGTCTCTCATTCCCGTCTGAAACGGGATTAAATTTGAGTTAATTGATTTCATCTAGTACTTCAGACTGAAGTCAACATTCAATTTATAGTTGTTTTTATTTTAGTTGATATTGTCATAATTATAAATTATAATTATATAATAATTATATAATAATAACTTAAAATTATAATCAGAAAGAAAATTATAAAAGTTAAAAAAAGTTAATAACATGTATTAAAATTTTCGACTTTAGACATTGCAACAAATCATGGTTTCAAAAGAAAAAGTAAAAAAAGTAGAAAGAGAAATCCTCATTTAGAAGTTTTTTTGCAAATGCGTACTGTATGACAATTTTACATTCTTTAATGAAAAAACAACATTCCATAGATAAATTAAAGCAAGTTTAAATTTAATTGCTTCGAAACGAAGAAAATGCAATTCAGATATAGAAATTCAGATTTCTGGAGTTGGAAAAATTGGAATTCTCAAATATACAATTTCCAACAGAGAAAAGGAAACGTGTAATGCAGCAACATTAGAATATCTTAAGAAGAAGTGATAAATGAAGTCAAAAGTTATTTATGCTTGCCTTATTGAATCGAACTTAAATGAACCCATCCAAGTCATAGTAAAGAAACAGTGATTGTAGACTTCCTGTTCATTTGACCTCGACTTGTCTGGCTTTCAGAATTAAGCCACGCTCTCGGACTCAGAACGCGTTAAACAAGCGGCCTTTCACAATTTCCTCACAGATTGCAGAAGAGGAGCACCAACAAAAAATTTTAAATCAATTTATAATGTGACGCCACTTTGGAATGCATTGTGTGTGCACTGACCGTATGAAAGCTTATGAAGAAAAACAGTGGCAGTGACTGGAGAAACTTGTCTTACTAGGGAAAGAAAAACGTTTTACATATTTGTTGGGAACTTTTTTTTCGCTTGCCAACTGAAGATGTGTGAAATCATTTTGAAATTTAATGTTATCGGTCTTAAACTTTTAGTATTATTTTAGAACAGATCTAAAATGCTAACTTTTCCTACTCTTTTTTAAAAAGCAGAGGAAAATGACAGAAAATTTTTTAAATATTTTTTAACTAAAAATTATATGCTTTCGCGGAAACGAAAATATGAAAACGAGATAGGAAAAGAAATAACTTTCCATTACTGAAAACAAAAATTTTATAATAAATTTTTGATTTAACATTTAGGAGACTTTTAAAATTTTTTAAAAAGATGAAACTTTTTCTTATCTTTTGCTGTTCTTAATAATTCTGAAGTAGCCCAAAAGAAACTATTATATCTGTAAAACTAAAACTAAAGTTTCGACCATCAAAGGATCTCAAAATATTATTAAAAAACACACGTTGAAAAATTATACTGAATACATTTCCAGCATAATTTTTTCAGTAACACACACACAAAAACCGTATTTCATTTGAAAAATGTTCCCAACTTAGTTATGATACTGACATGCATTATTTTTACTTCCTTGTATGAAGTAAAAGAAGTATTGTAATCGCGAAAAATTTTAGGTTTCATATTTCAACGAAAATGCCCATTTTGACAGCTATCGAATGCAATTTAACGATGTTTTTGCGTAACATCTGTACGCAAAGACGGAATAAAGGACTGGTTTTCCACAAACGAACTATAAAACTTATTTAAAATGGATTCAGAAGAGTTTTTTTTCCGTGGCGTCTGTACGTACGTACGTACGTATGTATGTAATTACATCGTATAACTCAAAAACGAGTAGCCTCAGAAATTTGAATTTTGTATATAGAACTGCTAGAACTGTAGTTGTGCACCTCTCTCTTTTGTTGCTATCGGCCGCACCAAGTGTTACTACCTACTATGTTAATCGTCTCAATGACCTCAGTTTTTATATTCTTATTTGTTAGTAAATTGTGCATTTTTTGCTTTAAAAATTATTGAATTATTTTGTTTTTATCTTCCGCGGTTAAGGTTTTTATACCTTTATTTAATCTGCATGCAACAGTTGTACAATTATCACCAATTTAAAAGCTATTTAAGTGCGGCTAAGAATAATTTTCTTTTACGATAGCAGCCATATTTGTTTAAAGTTGAAAGTTAGCAGAATAGGGAATTAAGTCTTTCTGAACCTTCAGTGTCTTTTTGCCAAAGCGAAACTTTTAGTTCTGTGCACCGAAAAATCTGCCTTCTAGCCTGCTGGCCGAATGGCTTGTTTTCCCATAGAAATTGCAATTTTAATTGTAAAAATTGTTTTCTAATTGTTTTAACTGTATTCGGTGTTTTATGTTTTTCTTTATCTTTCAATTTTTAATGAAGATATTTTGAGTTTTCATGTATTTTTGCTTTGCCGCGAAGTGACAACTGAAATAATTGAATGAGAAATATCTCTCTAATGAAATTCGAGGAAACAAGTTTAAATGAAACGCAAAAAATGCGCATAATCTGATATTCTGCACAAGTAAGTCATATGTTGTATACATAAGATTTTTTAAAATTTATTATTATTTATTTGTAAAAATAGGCAATTGTCCATTTTGAAGACATATCATGCATGGCAAAATAAAGCTTTTGTACAAGTTGCTTGTTCAAGTCTCATGAGTTTTTGAATACCTTAATATTTCCCTTCAGTGTTCGTATGCATACAAATATGTGTATTTGACGTACTTACGTATGTCCTACATATTTACATTTATGCATTTACTTACTATCTACTATTTTATTTACTATCTACTATAATTTGCACTTTATTACTTATATAACATTCTAAGTGAAATGCATACAAATCGTTTCTGATGTTTTCTATTATATCTTTATATACATAATTAATTCATACTTGAATAAAATTTCGTTTTCTTTAATTGAAAATCATCAATTATATTAACACTCGTTTGAAACGACTACAGCAGTTTAACCAGATTCCTAACATTGATTCTAACATCTTAACCCTACCACGTTACTCATATAATCATTCGAGTCGGCAAAATACTTTTCCATATATTCATCAGTTTCTTTTGTTACTTTAATGTCTGAAAGTCTCTCAGCTGATGCTTCTCCTGAATTCCCCATTCTAATGATTAATGAATGGCAAGGATTCTACGAGGGCAAGGATTGTTGCCTTCTGGCCGAATTGCTTGTTTTTGCTAAGAAACTGTAGTTTTAATTGTAAAAAAATTGTTTCTCAATTGTTTCAACAGTATTTGGTGTTTTATGTTTTTCTACATCTCTCAATTTTTAATGAAGGTATTTTGAGTTTTTATGTATTTTTGCTTTGCCTCGAAGTGCGAACCGAATTAACTGAATGAGAAAAATATCTCTAATGAAATTCGAGTAAATGCGTTTAAATGAAATGCAGAAAAAATAATGCGCATAATTTAATATTCCGTACAAGGAAGTCATGTGATGTACACAACAGATTTTTTTTCTGTTGCGTACGTATGAAGTTTGCAACGTATGTTCCCAGAAGACCAGACGACAGATAGACGTTCAAATGGATAATTACAGTTACTGCGATATTAAGGCTGCTTGCCACGGAAAGCTCAGACAGACATTTTTTAATTTTCGTAGAATTTAAAAAGTAGTCTGAAAGATAAAGGAAAGATGTTATGAATGTAAAGTGGCAACAACAAACTATTTTGAGACGATGCTAAATTTTCCGCACGGTGAAAAAATTAATTTCTCTTTTTTGATGGTTAAAAATATGTGCTTTTCATTTCAAATGTCAAACTTTGGCACAAACTTTTCCACTAGAATAAACACCGTTGCCTGTTTTATTTCAATTAATTACATTCAATTTCATTGTAAGATTATAGTTAAATTGGTTGCCTTTATTAGCCAGAATACTTATTAGCCAGAAGTGTGCAGTGACTGTTCGCTGACTTCTAAAAGGCTGGAGTGACAAGTCCAAAGAAGGATTAAAATACCCTTTTATTTAACTTGATATTATTTACAGTTGGCCCTTCTCGGGATTACAGGGAACTTGCATTTAGGCTTTAACTTGAGATAGAAAATAAGGAACTAAAATAATGCCAAATAGCTAAAAACTACCCAAAGCTGTACAATACTAACAGGCCTTTAATTAAACCTCACCCACGGATACTAGCAATACGGCGGAACGCAGTAATATTCGGAGTAAAGCAACGACGTGGCCAGAAGGAAGAAC